GCTTGATTTCATCCCAACAGGAATGGGATATGAAGGGTAGGGAAATGGTTGGTTATGAGTATAACCATAGTTACTACTCATCTCAAGTGAAAATTTGTTTCTTGCAAAAAGAATTCAAAACAAAACCATGTATATATATAAATATTTTAGTATTTTCACAAAAATATTAGTGATATGGTGGTTAAGGTGTTGAAGGAGTAAAATGGCTTTCACAAATACCATGTATATAAATATTTTTGGGTTTCGTATCGGGATATTATTGGGATATTATCGAAAATATCTCGATATATTGCCCAAATCATTCATAAAAATGTTGAAAATATCTTCCCGATATTATCGGGATAATATCGGGGATATTATCGATATTTAATACCTTGATTATATGTAAAGATGACGCTTTTTTGTAAAAAAGGGTCGTCTATTGTGAAGGAAAGATGACGGTTTTTTTTAAAAAGGGTCGTCTATTGTGAAGGAAAGATGACGGTTTTTTTTAAAAAGGGTCGTCTATTATATGTAAAGATGACGCTTTTTTGTAAAAAAGGGTCGTCTATTGTGAAGTAAAGATGACGGTTTTTTTAAAAAAAGGGTCGTCTATTATATGTAAAGATGATGCTTTTTTGTAAAAAAGGGTCGTCTATTGTGAAGTAAAGATGACGGTTTTTTTAAAAAAAGGGTCGTCTATTATATGTAAAGATGATGCTTTTTTGTAAAAAAGGGTCTTCTATTGTGAAGTAAAGATGACGGTTTTTTTTAAAAAGGGTCGTCTATTATATGTAAAGATGGCGCTTTTTATAAAAAAAAACCGTCGTCTATTATATGTAAAGACGACGGTTTTTTTTAAAAGGGTCATCTATTATATGTAAAGATGACGCTTTTTAAAAAAAAAACTGTCGTCTATTATATGTAAAGACGATGGTTTTTTTTTATTTAAAAGGGTCGTCTATTATATGTAAAGATGACGGTTTTTTTTTAAAAAAGCGTTGTCTTTTAAAACACGCTAAAAAATGGCCGCTTAAGTGAATTCGCGCTCAACAAATTTTCAAATTTTCACCTGTCTTTGAAAACCTTATCTCTCATTAACAAGCATCGTCTTTTAAAACACGCTAAAAAAAGGCTACTTAAGTGAATTCGAGTTCGACAAATTTTAAGATTTTCCCCCGTCTCTGAAAACCTTATCTCTCCCTCCTTGAAACCCTCCTGCACTCTCTAAAACACCCTCATGAAACTCTCTACAAAATCATCAAAAAATCGATATCAATGAAAGAGTTGAGAGATTTTCGCAGATCCATAAGATGTAGAGGGAGGTTCTGTATTTGAGAATCAAAGCTGGTTGAAAGGTTTGATTTGAAAGTCACCTAATCTCTCAATACCCTTCTATATCTTGCTAGTGCATTCTGGATTAGTCTCTTTGCGTTTCTAGTATTTTCTTTGTCTCCCTGATTTCAAATTTTATGTCTCTCTTGATTTGTCTAGTTTGTTTACATTTTTTTTTTTATATTTTTGGTTTCTTTTTAGATTTTCTGATTTTTATTATCAGGAGATGAGGAGGAAGCTTGCAGATTTATAACTTTTTCTTTTGCAGGTTTTCTATGTGAGTCGTATGTTTTTTTGTT